CAACTCATCTCATCATTGTCACGGACTCCCAGAGCATCTTGCGAAGGGTTGAGAAAGGGCTTCTTCGGAGTGAATGGATGAACCCAATACAACACTCATCACTTAGAGCCATCACGTGGATATTCTGTCCAGGGCACTCTGGAGTGAAAGGCAATGAGGAGGCTGATAGGCTGGCAGGCAGTGCCGTGGTTGATGGTGAGGTGAAATTTGACAAAGGAGAAGTGTTGAAGACCCTGGAGAAAAAGTTGCGGGATGAAGAAGACAAGGAGACAGCAGAACACCACACAATCATTAGGATGCGGGAAATGGGGATAGAGAGGGGAGAAGGAAGAAAGGAACGATTATCTGGAAAGGAAAGACGTCGCCATAATCAGACAGCCACCGGAACAATCAGTATGGATACCTAGTGGGCTTTGGTTCTGGGGGGAACTGAGCACTTATGGAACTGTCCGGTGTGCAAAGACGTTGTTGCCCTGGACAGGTAATACAGATAGGTTAAAGGCTCTCTTCAGGAAAAGTGGTCCCGGCCTAACTCAAAGTCAAAGGAAATTTATACATTATGTACACTGTAATCGGAAACAAAAGCGGAAGTCACGAGAAAAAAAAAGGGGGGTGCGGAAGGTTGCATAAAAAAAAAGATGCGAGGCATCATGGTGAAATAAAGCGCTCGTCAAAATAATGAAATCCAAGAAATCGGCTTTATTAAAGTTCAGCCGATGGGCAATTGTTTTCTAATTTTCTTGTTTTGACTCAACACCTTTTATGTCCATTTAAAAACATATTTTTGTGTGGATTGAAGTGAAAAACAATTAAAGGCACAAAAAATGTAAATTTCCAATTTCCAAGGACTCTCAGGCTATGGAAGTTACCAAACTTTGGCGGCTATTTCATTTTCTTGCTAATTTTACCTCTGAAAACAGACGACTCTGACCTCCTTCAATAGCAAATATTTCAACTTCTAAACCTAGATTGATTTTTTTTTTCACCAAAAGGAAGGCAAATGATAAGGCTTTAAGATGATACCAATATAAACCCCAAATGCTCCAAAATTGACGAGCGCCTGTATCCACCATGACATAAATGGTCTGTGACAGATGACAGTTTTTAGCGCGGTAAATTTTTACTTTCACTCCCGCACACAGAGATGCACTGCTTCAGGGGTCAAACTGCAGATCAATATAACATAAATCAATTATTTTCAAGAAAATTTCAAATCGAACTGTAAAATATCAACTTATGGGTTAAAACTGTAACCCTCCCCCCTCCCCCCCCCCCCAACTGATTTTCTTTTACCCCAGGGGGGCAGGAACCCCCCCCCTCCCTTCCAAATTGGTCCAAAGCACATATCTATCTCTTTTTTAAGAACAATCAGGTATTTCAAAAACTATTTATTTGCAACGGAAAAGAAGTTGATATTCGAGTTCAGCGATTCTATATTTAGATCTAGATCTATAATCTAGATCTAGTAGAAAAACGACAACTGGTAGCTAAAAGCGTGAGACAGAGAGGAAAAGTTTTAAAAAATACCTTTAGGGCCAAAACTGTTCTCAGCACACGAAAGAACGTTAAAATAATAAAAATAGTGCTGAAAAATAATCTAGATCTAAATTGGGTTTGGACCTTTTCTATAAATTTGTCCCAGCTTTTTCACTCGACTTCCGTTTTTGTTTCAGACGACACATTCGACTACACGCAGGGCGTAATACAAACCGGGCTACGATTGGCTGATAGGCAGAACCTTTGACCATGAATTCATTTAGTAGGCCTATAGGCTACTCTCTCTCTCTCTCCCAAGGTGGGGTAACAAACGAAAAAGTCCCCAATTTGTAACATGCATGCATTCCTACACTTGGAGTAACTATATATAGGGAGAGGCCCTTACGTTGCGTCGCCCGCTCAACAGTTCCAACCAAGTTGAAGCCGAAAGGGCGGAGCTTATCGGGCCTGCCGCCATCTTTGTAAGTTCAAAACAATGCAGCGTAATCTCCTTTCAAAACAAGCTGCTCGGACTCCATTGTCTCTCGAAATTTCTTTGTCAATGTTAATTACAGCATTATAAGCACTCACGTACAGTTGTAATGTAATAAGGATGTTAAGAAATCTTAGTTGCATCAAATTACCGGCTCATTTAGTCGAATATTTACAGTATACGTGTACTATGTATACACATTGTGATGGTAAGATAATTTTTTTTTTACATGTTTTAGAGACGAAATTGGGATAATAAGGATCAAAACCAAATTTTTAACGGGATGATAACATTTGCTGAGTTTTTGGTAGTCGAACTTCATTATTTTTACAAAAACGAAGACTTCTTGATAGTAACAATATAATAAGGACAGTAAGAAATCTTACTCGCATCAAATTACCAGCTCACTCAGTCGAACATTTGGTAATACATGTACTATGTATACACATTGTGACGGTAAGATAATTTTTTTTACTTGTTTTAGAGAAGAAATTGGGATTATAATAAGAATCAAAACAAAAATATAAACGGGATAACAAAATTTGCAGACTTTTCGGTCAAAGAACTTCATCAGTGCAAAATGATGTCATCACTGACATTATTTTTACACAAACGTAGTCTTCTTGACTTAAACATACAACAAAATATATTTCTAACAAAATTGAAAATGATTACACAAAAGATGGTAGTGAGGGTGGGATGGGATGGGCGAAGAATGAGGAAGGAGAGGGCAAGGCAGATAAGAGTGAAGTATGATGGTGGAAATTACCCCCCCCCCCCCCCACACACACACAAAAAAACCCAACAAAAAAACAAGAATAAAACAGCCTCCCCCCCCCCCCCCAAATAAAGCGAGGAGGGAGGGGCACCTTTAAAACACCCAGACACTTTATCTAAATTTTTTTTAATACTGTTAAGTGTATTGAAAAATTAATAGAAAATTTGAAATGATAGGCTTATAATATAAGGAGATTTTCAAAACAGATTGAATTAATTTGTGACATTTCTCTCTTGACAATGTCACACCCCCTGCACAGACAGACGACACATGGCATCGAAAATGTTATTCACACACCAAACACACTTTTCAATGACATTCTTTGAAGGCACTGTCGAACCTCCGATGAGACTTCAAAAACAGCAAGGAAGTTACATTTGACCCACTGCAGTCAACAAAGGCACCGATGCAGGTTTCACATTTTCAAATGCTTTGTCAACCTTAACAACACAAAACCAGCAACAAGCAACATGCAGAGCAAATTGACAAGTATGCCAGACTAGATCTAGGCACATACGTGCAGTTATCATCATGGCAAACTGAATTTTCTGCAATCTTTTTTCATTCTGTTTTTACTGTGAGATGCATTTACGCCAAATCAGAAGGCACTTCGTCATCAAGTTCAGTGCCATTGCCAGAGACTGATATTCTTAAAAACATTTTTCGTAGGCCTTTTATAAGTGTTTTACGGCACTCGCAACTGCATAAAGTCATATGAGTGTGAGGGACACATTAAACATTTTAAGTTGGTAGGAAATTTTGAATTTTGCCTGGGTGGCGACCGAAGCCTACCGTACTCTTATCAATTTTAGACCACCAAGGGACCTTTAATTTGCGCAACTTGCATATACGCGACCTCCGATATTTTTTTGCCCTTGTCCGAGAAGGCTAGGGGTAGATCTTTCCTACCAGAAGATCAGGGGTGTGGCTGAAAGACAGAGGTAAAAGAAGGAGCCAAGGAGTAGCAGTAGAAAGGCTGCAGAAAGAGTCCGGAGCCCTGAGGAGGTAGGAGCAGAAAGTGGAGACGCAAGCAGACGAAAGAGAAAGTAGAATTTTAGAGAACAAAATGTTTCCGTCACTACTCGGATTTGAACCCAGGACCTTTGAATGAGAGGCCCACCGGACCCGAACGCTACGCAAACTGCCATTCGGTCGACACTAAGTTTACAACTGAGAGAACTGAGCTGATCTCACAAACATGGCCAACCGTCGTCTGCAGCAGCTTCACGTTATGCGACTCATGGCCTCTCCTATTAATAGTTACTCCAAGTTCCTACACTTAGACTAGACAGTAGACTACTCCTTCCTTTATTTCTCTTATAAAAATCTTCTTCTCCTCCCCCTCCTCAAATTCCTCCTCCTCCTTCTTCTCTCTCCTCCCCCCTTCCTCCTTCTTCTTCCTCCTCCTCATTCTTCTTCTTTTCTTCTTTTATTATTTTTCATCTTCATTTCTCCTCCTCCATCACCAAAACCTCCTCCTCCTCCTCCTTCTTTTTCTTACGAAAGTGGCTATTCTCACCCGCCCGGAAGTTCTCGCAAGATCAACTCCTCCCCTCTTCTCTCTCTCTCTGTCTCTTTCTGAATACTATCTATCGATGTGGACGATCAAATTGACCAAAACAAGTAAATTAATTTGGTTGTCTACAAAGATGCTATGGCTATTTAACTTTTCGAATCGAGCCGAACTACGCAGGTCGCCATTTTGTTTTGCCCGGAAATTCTCGCGCTACTCCTCTCTCTCTTTCTCTCTCTCTCTCCACTGCCCACATACAAAATTGTACGCTTTTAGTAGGCTACAGTTGTAATGGAACGTTTGTTCACGGCACAGAATTGTACAATTTTTCTGTTATCACAGTGTAGATTTCTGTGGTTTAGGGTGAACGCAAAATTTGGTGAACGCGCACCGGGTGAGAATAGCCACAAGATTCGTCTACACTATTCTCACTTCGAGTGAGAATAGAGGTGGCCTTTTCTTACTCTATGAGTATGAGCGCTACGTAAAACCTCTACTAAAACTAAATAAACTAAACCCGCTGTGAGAAGACGGTCAAAGGGGCGAGACCGAAACCAGGAATTCCAAGAGTACCGTTGTATTTAGGGGTCAAAGGTTGGCGTTCAGCCAGTCGTAGTCCGGTCTGCGTTTAGCTTAGAGTCGCATGTTCCGACCACTTCTCCCGAAGAGTGCCGAGGGTTAGATTTACATGAAACAAATCAAGTTATTTAATTTTTATCCAACTTTCATCAACCTCTTACTTGTATTTGTCAAAAAGAGCAAACGCCTCATCAAATCCGTTGTTCAATAGCATATTAATGCCTGTTGAAGCCATCTCAACATCGTCAAAAACATCCTCAGGACCGGCTACAGCTGAGGCATTCAGATCTTCTATTTGAGCGTGACTAGCTGCCATTGTTCAGATGTATCTTTGATAAAGTCAGTGGTATTCTCTTCACCCTAATTAGTTCATACCAAAGAGTACGAAAAACACTGAGCACAATTTTATCTCAGCAATGATCGGGCAAAATGAGAAGTTTATCGAATGTAAACAGCGGCAGCCATGATACTATGGTAGCACTTCCGTTCTGAATCTTCTATTTTAGAGAACAAAATAATTTCTGGACGTTGTTGAACTTCCTGTTTCGATTTCGTTTTCTTTTCTGGATGAGCATTGAGCATGGTTGGCCTAATGTACGCATAGGCCTACAACCACAACCCACACTAGCAGTTCGAAGCAACAGCAGTCCTCTGTCTTAGTTGATTCGGAAGTCCTCCCGTTGATTCAGTCACTGTATTAACTATGTCAGTATTAATTGGATTAGTGGATCAGATAATCGGAGCGTCTGACACAGTGAGCTGGGATGTCAACAAGATTGGTGGAACTCCGGTGGGTTGAATTAAATTTTTAAAATTAAAATAATTTGTCTTAATAAATTTCAAAAAAACATATTTAGAACCTAGAAATCTAGATCTAGATATCTAGATCTAGGTCTAGAATCTAGATCTAGATCTAGAAAGCTAGGAATTCTACGTTGGCAAATTAAATCCTGATCAGTGACCTTGCCTCGATACTTGATGAGTACTAGATCTAGATCTAGATCTAAATCTAGTTAATAGTAGAAGTATTAGAGTAGTAATGGGCATGAGAAAACATAGATCTAGAGTCTAGATCTAGATTTAGATCTATATCTAGTAGGCTGTTGAGCTCCTTGGTCTTTTTTTTGCCTCCGCTGAGCATGTGTGTGAGAGAGCAGTGCAAGGTTATCGGCAAAGTCCAGGTCGTCCAGCTGCCCCAAGAGGTCCAATGTATTCCTTCCCCGCTTGCCTCTGGTGGCTTCTTTCATGATCCAGTCAATTGCCAGTATGAAGAGCAAAGTTGAGAGCAAGCATCCTTGTCGTGCTCCTGTCTGTTCCTGGAATGGTTCTGAGAGTTGTCCTTCATGGAAGACTTGGCAGTTTGTTCCATCATAGGACAGGTGGCCTTCTCAAGCTTGACTATTTTGTCAAGTATTCCACAATGCCGCATGAGTTTCCACAGAGTGTCCCTGTCCACGCTGTCAATCAATGCTTTTCATAATCAATGAAGTTGACCACAGGTGGTCGGAATCCTGCTTGGTTTCCTCGGAGCGTCTCACCTGTTGCCAGCTTGATTCTCTCCAGGACCTGTTAAAAAGACTCCCAGGTATTGGCAGGACTGTTTTTGCCTCTGTAGTTGTTACATTACTGAGGTCTCCCTTCTTTGGCAGCTTGAAGGATGGCTTCCCTTCCAGTTTGATGGTATTTCCTCCTCTTGCGAAGCCTTTTCAAATAAAGCATAGACAGAGAGAATTTCTACTGATGTATCTTTATCTACCTTACGGGCATCTGGTGAATATGGTCAGGACCACAGCAATTTATTCTCTCGAAGGTGGTTCCGTTACTATTTGGAGGTCATTTCGCGGAACCATAATTTTGAAAAAGAATAAGAAGGAATTTATTACAAAAGTCCCACAAAACAGTCATCCCCTCCACCCCCCTCCCCCCGTCTCCCTTTTCAAAAGGGGAAAACATATTTTAGTGACCCCTGCAGCAGCCCTAAGCCTGCGACCACCTCCAGTTGGGAGCTCTGAAGTAAATGGTTTGTTTTCTTTATTTTGTTCAGTCCAGTATTTGACAGTTATTTCTTATACGGACACTTTTTTTATTTTTCCTTGACAATGCATGGCCATCTTAAACAGGTTTGACTAATTAGTAATATTATATTAAATTAAATTATCGTTTGTATTAAAATAGTTGTTTTTTTTAAACAAATATCTAAAAAACTATTGATTTTCAAAGGATGGATTTTAAAAAATATTTATATATATATTAAATATGCAAGACAAAAAAGTGATGTTCAGCGGGCCTACCCGGTGAGGCAGGGGTGATAGTAAAATGATAACCCAATTACTTTTTCTCATTGTGTTCATGACTTTCCTCTGCTCAGTCCTGGCTGACTGAAGGCCCGTCTCGACAGATCCCCAACTGCCGACTGTGTGGTCGTCCCAGTAGTCTGGTCACTCAGCTGTACTGCCCCCTGGGTGGCTCCCCCTACCATCGCCTACTTTACGTCTTTGCCTGTCTCACTGACTGCAGCAAGAGACGTGAAGGGTAAATTACTTTTTTTTATTTTGATCTCTATATGTGAGGCAGCGTGGTGGAATCAGGCTCTCGTCAATTTTTGGGCACATAGAGTGGTATCATCTTAATAAAGCTTGTTCACTTGTCTTTATTTGGATGAAAAAAATATCCGTTTATCTTAAATACAAGTCGAGATATTTGCAAATGAAGGAGGTGGGGTGGTCACCTGTTTTCAGAGGTAAAATTAGTGAGAAAATGGCTGAAAAAATTAGTTATTTCTTTAGCATAAGAGTCCGTAATAACTGAAAATGTATATCTTTTGTGCCTTTAATCAACGTTTTTCAGTAAAATACACACAGAAATGAGTTCTTTAATGGCCATAAAAGGTGTTGAGCCCAAAAACAAAAATTTGATTAAAATTCACAAACCTGCGGAAAAATGCAAGTATCTTCACTTTGATTATTTTGATGAGAGCCTGATTCCACCACGCTGCCTCACATAAGTAACTCTATTTGTTAAATTTGTTACTGTCACCAAATGATATGTTGTCACTTCTTTCACCCTTTATTTATATGTGTATTTTTACTCATGCTCTTTTACAGACAGGATTCGCTTTGCTCCTCTCTATTCATTTTTATTAAATATTTGGGGAGTCGGAATCTGGACCATATTTTTCTGGTTTGGGGGGGGGGGGGTAGGTAGTATCAGCTCTTTGCGGTTGTTATGTATCGTGGAAGGAAATAACATTAGGTATTTCAATTTTGAAATATAATTATCTTTCCGAAGACAAAAGATAAGTCTAAGATATGGAGATGGGTCATAATAGTTTTTATCGATTTGTTGATCTGTTTAGTGGAGAATAAGATGTCTTCTCGTGGCCTCAACAATAAGTTAATTTGAATTAGTAAGAGGTCAGGTGTCTTGTAAATGAACTAAATAGTTGTGTTGTTCCTTGTTTGTGCAGGTGGACAGTTTTCCGCAGTCTCAAGCTGGACAAAACGTACGGCTCTGTGAGTTCGACCTGTGACAAATCTGGCTCATCTGACTCATGGCTGGATGACCAGGATGATTGGGGAGAGGGGTCGGATGACTGGGGTCAGGAGTCAGAAGAATGGGGTCATGGGTCAGATGACTGGGATCAAGGGTCAGGAGACTGGGGTCATGATCAAAGATCAGGCAACTGTGGCGATTCACACATAGGTCAGATGTTAAAAACAGAGGGTTCAGGCCTTGAGAATGACCGGTTACCCGATGTTGATGGCGGGAATGTTAGAGGGGATGGTGATGACCACACGATGGCTACGTGCACATCGCAAGCCAGAAGTGCCAATGTTTCAAAAGGAGGCTCTGCTGATGAGGAGATGGACACGGCAGCATTTTCCCAGGTAACTCCCGGAGCTTTGATACTACTTTTGTTGAAAAAAAAATTTATTGTCTTTGTCAGACTCTAATCGTGTATGTGCCAATTTAGATCAGACACTTTCTTGTGTGGTGAGGGGGTGTAATTATTTCTTATTATCACTCAGTGTTGCTCACATTTTGTTTAGAAAGTTCTTTTTACCTCTTAGGCTGTTGCCAGTTGTAATTACAATTTGTAATAAGATGAATATTTGGAGTTATTTTCTTTTAGTCAGAACACATCGTTTTATTTTACTCTGGTACATTGTATTGTAAAGCGCTCGAGCCTGTTTACTTTAATCGGGGTTGACAGCTATAAATGTCATTTATTATTATTACTATATTATTAATGATATAATCTGAGACCAAAAAACGTGTTTGAGCTATAATTCGGCCAATACATCATTTGAGTTGGACAGCGGCGATATTGTTGTCTCAGTTTCATCACTAGAAATGGGTATGTCTAGTTTATTTAGAATTAATGTTGGTCTTTTTTCACTGTCTTTTGATTATAAAACAATTTATTGTATCTGCACATTTTTTAACATTTCAGTCGAGGATATTGTTGCTGTAATTTCTTAGGTTTGTTTGTACATTTTGCCGTTTCAGATGAGGATCTCTGAAGGATCCACTGGTAATCCTGGACAAGTTTCTTCCCTCATGCCTTCTGTCCGTAAGTATGCTGTATGTTCCGGATTTCTTTAACATGTATTTATTATTCTAAGAAAAGTGAATTTAAAAAACAAACAAGTTTTGAACACCTTTATTTTAAGAAATATATTATACAGTTGAAATATTTCAATATCCTATTAACATTCCTCAACCCCCCAAAAAAACCAAGATCCTCCTCCTCCTTTTCTTCTTCATCTGCTTCTTCTTCTTCTTTATCATACTCTTGGCCATCCTGCTCAATTCTTCTGTCTGCCCTTTCAGCTTTGTCAATGGGGGGGGGGTGTTGACCACGTTTCCTGTTTCAGGGCCTTATGTGTCCTGCACTGTTGAAGGATGTGTTCCACAGTTTGGTCTGCTTCTACACACTGGCATTTTGGTGATTGGAGCATTTATTTTTTTTGTCCCTTGCCCATTTTTATTACATTGACGCCATCAGATGGCACGAAATCGCGCATCTGTCAAACTGTGCCTGTGGTTCTTTGTTTTTATTTTTCTTGTTTATCTTTTGTAAGATATCCCTCAAACTACCGAGGCTTGTCCCGATGTATTCGAGCTATCCGCATTATACTGTGTATAAAATGCATGGTTTCAGAGGTAAAATTGGCGAGAAAATGACTGCCAAAAGTTTCATAATTTCCAAACCTTGGGAGACCTTGGAAATTGCAAATTTACATTTTGTGTACCTCAAATCAATGTTTTTCAGTAAAATCCACATGCAAATTTGTCTTTAAATTGATCTTAAAGGCCTTGAGTAAAAAAAAAAAAAAATTCCTATAAAAATTATGTTCTGGCAGAAAAATGCCAGTTTCTTCGATTTCATTGTTTTGACAATCGCCTGATTTCACCATGATGCCTCACATTTGTTTTTAAACAGTTGGTTATCGAACTTTTCATCTCACGGAAGTTCAGAGTTCAAATCTGTGTTTGGCTTTTTGGTGCTCGTTTCATTTGTTGTTGTTCATTTCTTTCCAAACAGAGTCGCAGATGAAGGATGTTTATGAGGCAGGGGGTGTCCAGTGTAGCGGTGATGGTGTAGGTGTAGAGGGTGAGCAACCAGTTTTGGCAGGGGGTGAGTCAGAACTGCTGGTGTGTGACGAGGGCCGGTGGAATGCTGTTACTGGTCTACTCAACACTACAATGGCGCAGGTATGGAAGGGTTGCTTCATGGTAGAAGTGGGGGGGGTGGGGGTGTGGCAGCGCTGTTAGTAGTAGGGGTTTATGAATACTTGAGTATTTAGCCTGTGAGAGTACTCTCTTGAATATTTTTATCACAGGGAAATGTTGTTATTTCGTCAGGTCTTTTAGCATAGTTACATGTAGGTGTTACCTTATTGGGAGGGGATTGGGGGTCTTTTAAAATAGTTGTTGGTTCATGCTTTACTCAGACTAATTTGCTGTTATTTGTGTCGATGTACTTTTCTTTCCACAAAACGTAGACTCAGCAATACACGGACATCTTGTCGCCTTCTGTCGTTCTTAAAATTGTGCCCTGGTATAGTTATAACTTTTTCTTCCACATTAGGACTCCAGGTCGGCCACACATCCAGCTTCCACAGTCTCCCCCTCAGGGGGTCCGGCCATTTTACAGGCATTCTATTTGTGTGTGGTGGAGGAACCCACGGAGGCCGGGGAAAGGACCTCGGATCATGTGACAGAACTTATTCGGGACTACGAGAGGTCAGAGGGGGTGAAGGTAGACCAGCTCATGTCTGAAAGGTGAGATTATGTGTGTGTGTGTGTGATCATGTGACAACTTTTTTAGGTAAATGAGAGATTTAAAGGGTG